TTGTAGTGTTTTTATTATTGATATTCTCTATTAGCGTCTTGGTCCTTGATATCATTTTTATACTTGGGATTGTGATCACGCTCACTGTAATATAAACATTTCATATATCTATATATTAAAGGTTTTTTTAATTGGTTATATTTATAGAAATTGATTTACAGTCAGAATGGTGGCAAAGTATGTGAGAACTGTGAAGGAACTGTTATTGATAAGAATAGATTTATAATTATCTGTTGTTATTAATTTGTGAAGTAATTCCATATTAATTGTTTTTACATTTTCTTCTTTGTTTCTTATTATGTAAATTTTATTGTTGAGTACAGTTAGGCAAATCAAATTGTCTGGTTCTGGTAAAAAAAATTATCAAAAATGGTAAAATTTTTGCTTCATATCATAGAGGTCTTGTGTTTAAAATGAGAAAAGTCAGTAAAATAGCTGTGTGTTTTTCTTTGAACGTCTAGATTTTTGTATGGGTAAGATTTTTCATGACAATCATTGTCTGTTTTTCTGCTAGAAAACACTGGATATTTTTTGTAATAAGTAGTACTGCTGTACAGTGACTGGTCTATCTAGGACATAGAGAAATGATATCCAAAATGAAAACTATTATGTGAGAAATTGAAATTTAGGGGAATATTTTACATCAATTTACAGTTATGTTGAAATATGAATAGAACTTATGAAATATCTAGAGGTGGCAGTAGATTAATGAATCCTTTATAAAAATGATGGAAAACTCAATAAATAGCTGTTACATTTGAATATGTTACAGTAAACCATAAAGATCTTTATAGTATATATAAACTAAGATAATAATTATGAACATCTAGTAATCTAACCCAGTCAAATTTGTATAGTACATTGGAAAGACAGCAAAAAAAGGGATACTGGCCAGAACCACACAATGAGTTTTTCGTCTTCTGTTTGATAACATTAATCCTGCAATAACATATGCCCTGAATGTCGCTGTCAAGTTGACAGGCCCTTCCTTGCTATAGACTGTGTCTGGTCCCACTGTGAAGGGTACTTAGTTGTTCTAGTGCTAGAGTGTAGAGTGTTGTATGTTATTTAGAATTTTTAACAGTCGTGCTATTGTACTTTGTGAGAGTGATCTACCCTTACCCGTCACTATTCATGTGGAATAAATCTGTTTACTGGGAGGTGTTCTTTTGTTAAGTGCTGATTATCCTGAAATATTGATCAGTAACTAAAATATATGGCTTAAGTAAATGAGTATGTGTCCATTGTTTCTATTAACTCCTTATCAAGTTGTATATTCATCAAATAATTTGCAGTTTCAACTTAACAGTTTGCATTTTCCATATTAGCTTAACAGTGGTTTGTAGGTGGGTTATCGTGTTTTTCTCCTGATCTCATCTAGAGGAGACCTTTGATTGAACCAGGCAGCATATTAAACCATTGTGTGACCTGTAGACTAGGCTAGGGAAGCGAGTGTGATAGGTTGTATTTATGTTAATCTGCTGTACAGAAGGGCCCTTCAATTCTCTGTCATGTTGCCCTCAGTTGACAGAGTGTTGACTATAGACTGTCATGGTGGACATAATTAATACTCCAGTGCTGTTAGGTTTCTTTATACCTTAATGATCTGTACCCTGGATGGAGAACCTAGATGTAATCACTACCTAAGTTCTGATGAGACTTAATGACATAGAGATGATCTTTCTCTTCATCTATCAACACTTAAGATTTAATCATGTTAAGCTTGAGACCAGGTCTGTTTTTACTATACAAACAATGTGTGTGTGGTGTGACTGTGTGTGTGTGTGTGCAGTAGGGTGCGAGTGTGCCTGCGTGCAAAATCTACCTGTAATTAAGGAACAGGTGGAAACTTCATTAGTGTTAAAAAGGAATCTAATGATTTGAAGTTTATATTTCAATTGTTATTTAGGAAATCTGAATAATAGAGAATTTCTTTATACAATTTTATTGTAAAAGTTTCAATAGTTACTGAAATATCTGTTATTGTGTCCGATATCTTCTCACAGGTTACTCTACTTTACTAAACAGTAGAGTGCAGACCTTCAGTTATAATTCATTAAATATTCTCATGAATTTTGTTATAAGACTGCTTTAGAAGGATTCTAAGTATTAGTGCATTGTTACAGGTTTATAGAGTGCATACAAGTGCATAGTGTTACAGCTTCACTTCTTTTTTTAATCCGATTTATCTGCCTTTATTTCTTGATGAAATGATACTTTCATTTGATGAGACTAGGGTCAAGAGGTCAGGTAAGATTTGATGGAATATGCATTTGTAATTGTTAAACAAATATGAAATAATTTGTTGTATTTTAGGTCAAACATCAGGATTTTGATGTCAATTTAAGGGATTCCTTTGATTTGAAATAAACACCAGAGGCAATCATTTCCCTTGCTTTATTAAGTGTCAATAGAGAACAGACACTTTTGACATCTACAAAAATCTTATGAATTATTGTACATTTTTGAAAAAAAATACGCCCATAAAATATTGATTACAGATTTGTGTAGATCTACAGATGTAATACTTTATGAATTGGGTATTTGTATGGAGTCTTTGAATCCAAATCAAGTACCTTTTTTTTTTAATGATTAGGTCTTTTTTTTTTCTTTTTTTTTTTTTAATGAAATATTTTTTATGAAATAGACATAAGTTTAATTCAAACAAACATGCAGTTTAGTTTAGTATCAAATACTTTTTAATTTTGATTTGACTTTCTTTATTTTTTTTTTTTTTTGTAAGATTCGGTCAGTACTTGATCAAAAGTGGTGTAGACTAAAATACTCCAAGGGTATGTTAAAGAAGGAAGTGACCACTTGTACCTGGGGGAGGGAGGTGGGGGGGATGGGCTGATGGATTTGATTTGATGGATGCAAGAGTATTTGGATGGAAGTTATTACTAAATTATTGCTTTGTTATGGAGAGTTGATGTGTAGCCTGTAGTCTTCACTGTACATAGTCCATTTCCATGTAACATAATGGGATGCTGCTGACAGAAGCACTAGATGATTAAGATCGAGAAATAAATAAGTATACAGATATCAACAGAAGTCTTTGTTGTTGCTTTAGTTCACCAGCAAAGTACCTGCAGTGATTGTATAGCAGGACATTTTAGAATGGAAATGTCATGAACTCTGGCCAGAAGCTACTTGAGGAAGAATGCTAGTTAGCTTATATTGAGGACATCGACCAATTTTTAAGGTCACAGAGGTCAAATGATCTGTTGTCCAGCAAGATAATGTATGTTTTTGCCTAACAAGATCAAATTTTGCACTTTTAGGTGTCTTTGGTTGCCTGTATTAATATCTGCTAGTCTGGATTTATGAGAGAAAGGTTGCATATAAATTCAGCAAAGAAAATACTGAGACAAGATCATTGTGACGACCCTAAAACCTCTCCATTATCTTTATCAACCTGCATCTCTTGAACCATGTTTAGAGTTTATCTGTCAGTTATCAATATCCTTCATGAAAATTGTGATATTGGGAAAAGGTCCTTGAATATCAAATCAGCTGCGACTGGGAAACATCATAGGTTGTGGAAGCAGGGCTTTTGCTCTCCAGAAAGGGAAAATTAAAATCATTAATCACATTTGTCATATAGCTTCAGCAGCAGAGAGGGCATCCTGTTGGGTTTGGATGAAGAGGGACAAGAGTAGCTGGAGATCCACCACCGATGTGCAGTGACTGATCACCACTGTGGACCCCCTCCCCATCCTGAGAGTGTACCGAGTAAACGCACGATGAAGTATGGCCTCGATTCTGAGTATAGAAGCGATAACATTCCTCATCCTGATAGCCTTTGTATGCTACCAGGATTAGTCTTTGATGTTAATTACAATGCTATGTCCTACCATGGAAATGGACAATAAACCTAATAATGCATCACACCACACAATCAGCCTGTTGTGGGTATGAAGTTTTCAAGGATATTCCAGATATTTTAGGATTTTATTGCTGTTTTAAAAACTTTTAGATGTTCTTATCTTATGAAAATTATGTGCATCAATCTGACTTACGATCCAACAATATTTGAATTCATCAAGGTTCTCTATAGATCTTTTTTCAGATCACTTTACAAATGTTCCTTATGGCATCTCCTCACATTATACCTATGCACTACTGGAACAGCCAGATACCTGGTACGGTTTCCAGATTGCTGTCAGTGATTTTAATGCTGTAAATGTTTTTTTATGTAGCCTGAAAATGTTAGGGGGAGCATCTGCTTTGTCTCTCCTTTTTTCCGTCATTCTCCTTCATATCCAGAGTATAACTATTCCCAGTGAAGCAAGGATCATGAGACTTTGTGTGTACATTTTGATGTGAACTGTACAAGATTTGAGGCCCTCAACCCCTTATCAGTCCCCAAACAGGAACCAGAGGGGACTATAGTTTTGTTTTGTGTACATCGATCCTTGCCACCTTCTGCTAACTTGTCTAGCCCTGGTCTTCTACAAAACTAATCACAGGAATTCATACATGGGATCTGAGTTACCTATTTGACAGTATTTCATGTAACAAAAGTAGGTCAGCTTTACCTACATTTCGACCTTTGATTTACAGAGAAAGCTTGTTCGGGCCCTGTTCCTTACACTACCAAGAACTTCATACTTTGGATATGGATTCATCTTTGCAAGGCGATGTGTTCCATATCGGTTTATGTCATTCTGACCTAAATTTTGACCTTTGACCATTGTTAAAGAAAATATATTCATTTTTCCACCCATAAAATTCATGAAAAATAACCCTTTAAGGATTTAAGTACAAGCAAGATGTGAGGTATGCCTTGAATGTGAGGTATGCTCTAGATGCGAGGTACACCCTGGAAGTACAATTATATGACTTGGATGTTGGATTTGAAGTATCCCCTGGATGTAAAATACACTTTGGATGTGAAGTACACACTAGATGTATAACTTCCACCAAAATTATCTGCAAAATAAAAGTTTTTAGCCATGTGTATATTACTACCTTTCTCTGATGAAAAAACAAAATCAGTCTTGTTCCATTGCCACTGATGGCATTTTATTCCACACATATTACATCACCAATAAAACAATAAACAAAAAATACTGAATTCCATACATCTATTGCTGAGGGCCCTTAACTCCATAGATCTATTGCCGAGGGCCCTTAACTCCACAGCTCTATTGCTGAGGCCCCTTATCTCCACAGCTCTATTGCTGAGGGCCCTTAACTCCACAGCTCTATTGCTGAGGGCCCTTAACTCCATAGATCTATTGCTGAGAGCTCTGAACTTTGTAGATCTATTGCTGAGGCCCTCAATTTCTCAACTTTACCAGAATTTTAAGCAAATAAAATTGATGACATTTAACAGGCATTAAGTAAAAAAAAATGTTTCCTCTGAAATTCCTCAGTATTGTAAAAGTGTGAACTAAGTTCTGAAGCACACAATGTGACAGAACTATACTGATCTCCCTTATACAATGTCTCGACATAATTAAAGCTTTTAAAAGTATTAAAGCATTACACAGTTTTCCCTTGAGCACTACAGAGGATACCCTCTCTCCTGTAAAAATGTCTGGTGCAAATCATGTTAAACATTGAGTAAAACCAAAACATAGCACTTCACAATTACACCAATCTACTGTAACAAATGTACCGTGGATCCTTGTACGATACCACAGAGCTTTTACTGTGATTAAATCGTCATTTCCCACACAATCTCAGCACACAGTGAACTGGTTTTCATAAAACATTCCAGGATTTTGTTTCAAATTTTATGCAAATACAAATATTCTGGTCTTGAAACTGATTTAATGATTTTTAATGAAACAGGAAATCCTCAGGTCACTGTGACCTATTTAAGGCAGACAACCATCAGAGTGATAGACAAGATAAACTTCGAGAAAACTACAACCTGACAACAAGGATCGACCACATGCAACACAGGCTATTGTGTTATTAGACTCTGGTTATGGGAAATATTCTAAGTACTTGTTGAGTAAAAAGTGATATGTAAGTAACAAACCTGTACAACAAAGACCAAGTGGAATCAAAAACATCACTGACACTTTCATTTGGTTTTGGAAACAGTCTGCATGTAACCCTGATTACATCTTCATCAGGAAACTCCTCATTGGATGGGAAATATCTCTACCCCGTGCCAGGTAGGTGTCATGGCAGACTTGATTTGTGTATCAAAACCTGTACATCCTGTCTTGTATTCCCTAATGATCACTAAAATCTGTGTAATGTGTTTTATAAGAAAATTGGTGAAACCAATGGTAAAAAACACCCAAGCCTTCAGTGAAGGTTGTGATTTGTGTAGCACAGTGTCAACATAATAAATAAATAAATAAACAAGAGCCGCCGTCACATCAATATCTGATCACCTTGGTGAGAGAATTAGTAATAACATCCTTTTTTTAAAATACGTAGGATATCATACACCAGTTGAGTAAACAATATTATCTCCGCACAAGACTGATTAATGGATTTATCTACAGAAAATACGTTGAAAGTACGAAATATTACTTTGGTACCACAGAGGACAAATACCTTGATTGGCCCTCCTCTTTAGCACTTGTTATAGAAATGTTCCTCCAAATAATTGTGGATAACAGGTGATAAGAGACTGGCGGAGAATGGCGAGGTAGATGCTATCTAAATGAGGTTTATAGATATGGTGACCTCATATCGACTCCCAACTCACAATGAAATCAATAATCAATAAATGAGATTCATAGCATGGAATGGTACGAGGCCAGTAAACCACCGCACAACAAATATACCATATCAAGTACACGTACTGTACTTAATACCTTAAAATCCATAACATCAGTACAAAAACAGGCTGACATCATATATGTAAGAGTACCTGTTGATTACGATTGTGAGATAATTTCTAAACAACAGCCGATAGTTGGTCACACAAACCTCACACAGTAGTCTATCAGGTTTTTCTACTCCTCTATAAATCTTCAATACTAGTCTGTCAGCAATATTGTCTGTCTAGACCTTTAAATATATATATTCAATAACACAAGGTTATTTTTATTACTGTAATTTTTTATCTTTAAAAATATCCAAAATCACTCCCATAAAGAACCCACAATACAGCCCCCAAAAATTTATAAAAAATGACAAAGAAAAATGTAATTCTCTCATTAATTACAATTTAAATGCTGCTTTATACTGACTGCTATGGTCTCATCAGTCTACATTTGTCAGAATCATTGACAATATACCCTACCACTTGGGGAGGTCTTAATCAGAATATCTACTACAGCTCCATAGAAGTACAGTACAAAAGTATAGAGACGACCTTGGACAAATCATAAAGATATTTAGAGGAAAACAACACCATATTAAGTACATGTATACAGAGCAGCTGATGGTGGGGTGTCTAATTTCCTTGTTAGTTGATGTGACAAATCATTATAATGAAGTAGTATGTAGGATTTGTAATCAGAACTGATTCCCAATACTCCTTTCTGAATATCATATCCATTAAATTTTATGCACATGCTCAGAGAGATGGGTTCTGATAACAGACCCTGCAAACATTTTGACAGTCTATGAAGGAACATCGTCTTTTTTCGCCGTTAACTAAGACTTTAATCTTCAATAGCATACTCCATCATGTTTTCAAAGGAGAATGGCTGGAATTTATATCCTTCACCGGCATAAAATTTGGACTGGAACTCAACCCTGAAAACACAAAACCAAATCTACAGAAATATTCGCATATATACACATAAAATTTGTCAGTACTTTCAATGTATCAGCCTTCAGTAATATATATTTATTTCCTCGTAAAACTTTACGGTATCTTCACTTTGGTAGTACTACAGTTTTATTTTTTTCTGTTTTTCACTTTTATTCCAGGATATCACTTTGCCTTCAAGACATTTTCCTACCAGCTTGCTAATAGCTTTACATGATCTATTGCCTTGTGATAAACAATGAAGTAAATCCAGACAAAATTAAGTTAATGTCTGGTCACATAGATATCAATGATATTGAAGGCTACTGGACTCGTATTTTACAGGACTGTGTAAACATACCAGTGTAGACGGAGAGCATGGAGGAATGCAGACAGACCCTCCATGACAACTAATACAACAACGGTCAGCACTGCCCAGAATGCAAACAGTGGCACAATGAAAAATGCTCCAAGAATTCCATGGTCCATGGCTAGTCCTATATGTAGTACCATCTTCCACAGTACCTCGGACAACTCTATAACAAAAAGATATATCAATGTTAAACATTGTTCACACTAAATGGAGCTCTAAAAAGTATATATGTATCTTAAATAACTTATTACATCAAATTTATCCCCACTACACTACACTCAGTACTTACGAGCATGGGCCAAACTAAGAGCCCAGAGTCGAAGGTAGGAAGCTGTGTGAGAAATACACCCCAAACAGTACTCAATGGTGTGTATAGACTGGTGAACAAATATTTCCTCAAAGTTGAATTCCTGTAAATGAAACAGAAAATCTCACTGACATGTTACATACAATGGTTAGGGTGATCTATTCAGTCTTTTTATCTTGTTATCTGATACTTTCTCAACATGATACATTTCAATTAATACTGGAGTCTAAATCACAGGCAATTAATACCAATAGAGATACCCCATCCCACCACATTAAATTAAGATTCTGCATGCATGAAAGATTGCCACAAACATTCCAGTTACATTACACACGTTCAGTGACGTTACTTTAGAGAAGAAACAACTTACATGTGTATTCTTTGTTTTTGTTTAGTAAAGCATCAGTATAATGAAGGACCAGAGAGAAAATAACAGGAAATCATGGCAAAAATCTTAACCAATCTAAGTGATATTGCTAACCTAACAGCTGTCCATTATAATACCACTTAAATATACTGCTATAGGTAATTTGGATGCCTTCTCTGATGTTACACGGGTGGTGGGGGAAGGAGCCGGTAGTAACACATGTACACAATATACAACAAGGGTGTCCTGGGACAGAACAAAATTAATTATTGTTTAGTAATAGATATATATATGGAAATGAAACAACACATGTCTAAGCAAGATGCCACTGGGAAAGCACATGTTGTAATATCTAAGTCTACCAATTCTTTAAGGAAATCAGTCAAAAACTTAGGGATAAGATGTCCATACACAATTAAATAGCTGTGATGGACATATAACCCTTCTAAAACTTGTTGAGTCAAAATGCTACAAGTAGAACAGTGCTGTAAGTTTTGATGAAAACATATATAAAGCTTTAAAGAGATAAGTCAAAAACTGAGACGAAAAATGCTGAGAAAAAAATTTACAAGGTCCAAGGGCCTTAACAGTTACCTGAGTTACCATGCTTCTTGTAACACATCGTAGAAATTATTTTTTGTCAAAAAGGTAAGATAACTTTAACTACATTGCACACATACTACAAATGTAAACTGTACAAATCATTAACTGCTTTCCCATGCTATGGTTTCTTACCAAGTTTGAATTAAAAGATATTGAACTAAAAGTTTTAATTATCCTATATAAGATCTTTCATCTATGAATGGTAGAACATCTTTGAAATTTCAGTCAATTTGACCCATTTTTGAGCTCAACCATCTGCCCTTGGAGGTCAATATGTGCATCTCATCACAATGTCAACTTATACTCATAATTCTAACCAAGTTTGAATTAATTCTGAAAGAAAATATACAAATTATGCTCAAAAATGTCATTTCCTATATAAACTCTAGACTGTTCTGTTGGGAGTTTTACTGGTATCTAATTATGGTGTTGATAAATAATCATTGATCTCAGTTATAAGTGTAAGCATTGAATAGCCTTATTATACAGTTTATTGTCAACATCAATGCCAAAACAAAGTGTGCTAGTATGACATGTGTCGTTTACCAGCACAGCTTTGTGTTTTATCATTAACAATCATTATCAGAACAAGGCCTTCAATACTTGATAACTTTATCTAACAGCAGTGTGGGGATTATGTGAGACTGTTAGGTCAGTTTACCAACCTGTCACTTTGAATCACCAGTAATAAGCCCACTCTGTTACTTTGAATCACCAGTAATAAGCCCAACCTGTCACATTGAATCACCAGTAATAAGCCCACTCTGTCACATTGAATCACCAGTAATAAGCCCACTCTGTCACTTTGAATCACCAGTAATAAGCCCACTCTGTCACATTGAATCACCAGTAATAAGCCCACTCTGTCACATTGAATCACCAGTAATAAGCCCAACCTGTTACTTTGAATCACCAGTAATAAGCCCAACCTGTCACACTGAATCACCAGTAATAAGCCCAACCTGTCACTTTGAAACACCAGTAATAAGCCCTTCCTGTCACTTTGAAACACCAGTAATAAGCCCAACCTGTCACTTTGAATCACCAGTAATAAGCCCAACCTGTCACTTTGAATCACCAGTAATAAGCCCAACCTGTCACTTTGAATCACCAGTAATAAGCCCACTCTGTCACTTTGAATCACCAGTAATAAGCCCAACCTATCACTTTGAATAACCAGTAATAAGCCCACTGTCACTTTGAATCACCAGTAATAAGCCCAACCTGTCACTTTGAATCACCAGTAATAAGCCCACTCTGTCACTTTGAATCACCAGTAATAAGCCCACTCTGTTACTTTGAATCACCAGTAATAAGCCCAACCTGTCACTTTGAATCACCAGTAATAAGCCCACTCTGTCACTTTGAATCACCAGTAATAAGCCCACTCTGTCACTTTGAATCACCAGTAATAAGCCCACTCTGTCACTTTGAATCACCAGTAATAAGCCCACTCTGTCACTTTGAATCACCAGTAATAAGCCCACTCTGTCACATTGAATCACCAGTAATAAGCCCACTGTCACTTTGAATCACCAGTAATAAGCCCACTCTGTCACTTTGAATCACCAGTAATAAGCCCACTCTGTTACTTTGAATCACCAGTAATAAGCCCACTCTGTTACTTTGAATCACCAGTAATAAGCCCACTCTGTTACTTTGAATTACTATTTATGTGTTGCGCTTATTGCTAGATGCTTACAGTAGTGTATAAAAAGCATTAGACTTATTTACCAACAATGATGGTCACTGTGTTTAAAAGTTGGATGTATGTATATCAACAGTGTTAAGGAAGGACACAACATGTGACTGTTTAGCATGCAGGAAGTGCTGTGAATTCTGGGATAGGAAGACAACATAAAAAGTGAGCTGTTGTGTTTGGTTGATCACTATACTCACAACATCAATATCACCAAGCAAAAACTTTCCCACACCTGTTAACATTGTTGAGACCCCATACTTCAATTCTAAAAATACCTTCACGACTTCCGACTAGTTCCCAGTGTTATATCTTAAGATTATTAACTATTTCATAACTCTTGATTATTTTCCACTCATCAAAGACTTTCAGCAGAAAAGTTCAGAAATTTAATGTAAGTATGAATATACTGTTTATATACAAATTGGTTTACAAATGATCTCCTTACATTACAGAACTGTTTAGGTCCTTGACAAAAGAAGTTTACAGTCTACAGGAATAATAACACTTGGAAGATTTTTCTGATTTGTATAGAGAAATATTTCTATATGTAATTTCTATGTTATTTAGATTTCTGACAAACTGACCACAATAAGATAACTACCAACAGTTACAGTGTGATAAAATTAACACAACAAAAGCCCAACCCCACCCAGGTGCCCAACACTAACAGATGTGGTGTAAGTAAACTGCAATTGAAATTCAAAATGGCCTCATATGATAGAGCCATGACAATATAGCTACAACATGAAATATTAAAGCAAGGCCACAGCAATCACCTCCTCTATGTCTGTTAGTTCACCGGCTGCCATCATCCCACTGTCACCCTGTTGATTGATCTCTTGAGCGTGATTCACAAGGTCACCGCTCTGAACAGACAATTGCTGATGTTTGAACTGCGAGTGTCGAAGAAAGTAAAAAGATATACTAATTCGAGTAAGAATGACAATTCTCTGTAAATTCTATAAATAGCTGGTCCCTTCATTGCGGTCTGGAATACCTCTCTAGGCACTATCACTAGTGGCATCAGTGTTAATGCTGTTGGTCCGTCTGTTGCCATGGAAACGATTAATGGATGGACTGGATTGGGTACAATTCTTTTTCATTTTAAAGTACTTTCCTAATTTTTCAGGGAGAATGTTGTGTTTTATGTTAATCAATCTCAAAACAACCAAATTGTTAACGTTGTTTTAACCAATGACATAAATCTGTTCCAAGAACTCACAGGTACAGAATGTTTCAGAAAAATTTTTCTATTTTTTTCATTTATTTTTCAAATGATATTTCTTATCAACGTACAAGCTAAAATCCAATGTAAATATTCAATGACCTATGATCAGGAATACATAACTGACCTGTGGATTCAAAACTGGCCCAAAATTCCTCACTTAAATCGGGAGTGAATTGGGTTTTTTTTTTACAATGTTTTAGTCAAAATACTTCAATCGCAAATATGAATGAGTTTATCTGCTGAAGTTACTGAAACTGAAAACAATGGAGCAATGAATTAGCCCATTAATAGCTACACCCTCAGACACCAACTGGTCTTACTCCAGGATTCGTTTCCATCACCACAGACATGCATGGAAAAAACAAATTTCAACCAATTCTGTATGAGTATACTAGTCACCTCCTCCTCCTCGTCATCCTTGGACCTGTCTGGGTTGTCGGAGTGGTAGATAACTTCTTCTTCGTCCTCATCACCCAGAGGTACGCTCTGGTACTGTGACTTACCACATCTACCCGACTATACAACAATAAAAACACTGATAAAACAACATCCTTCCTCCTTACAATCACTTCGACATTCAAAACAACAACAATAGACTACAACAAACTGAAAGGTATCTGTCTCTGGACTAGGTTTTACTAGACTACAGGTATCTGTCTCTGGCCAGGTTTTATTAGACTACAGGTATCTGTCTCTGGGCCAGGTTTTACTAAACTACAGGTAACTGTCTCTAGGCCAGGTTTTACTAGACTACAGGTATCTGTCCCTAGGCTAGGTTTTACTAGACTACAGGTATCTGTCTCTAGGCCAGGTTTCATTAGACTACAGGTGTCTGTCTCTGGACTAGGTTTTACTAGACTACAGATATCTGTCTCTAGGCCAGGTTTTACTAGACTACAGGTATCTGTCTCTAGGCCAGGTTTTACTAGACTACAGGTATCTGTGCCTAGGCCAGGTTTTATTAGACTACAGGTATCTGTCCCTAGGCTAGGTTTTACTAGACAACAGGTATCTATCCTTGGACTTGGTTTTACTAGACTACAGGTATCTGTCTCTAGGCCAGGTTTTACTAGACTACAGGTATCTGTGCCTAGGCCAGGTTTTATTAGACTACAGGTATCTGTCTCTAGGCCAGGATTTACTAGACTACAGATATCTTTCTCTAGGTCAGGTTTTACTACACTAAAGGTATCTGTCTCTAGGCCAGGATTTACTAGACTAGATATCTGTCTCTAGGCCAGGTTTTACTAGACTACAGGTATCTGTCTCTAGGCCAGGTTTTATTAGACTACAGGTATTTGTCTCTAGGACAGGTTTTACTAGACTACAGGTATCTGTTTCTGGACTAGGTTTTACTAGACTACAGGTATCTGTCCCTGGGCTAGGTTTTACTAGACTACAGGTATCTGTTCCTAGACCAGGTTCTATTAAATATCAGGTATCTGTCCCTGGACTATGTTTTACTAGACTACAAGTATCTGTCTCTAGGCCAGGTTTTACTAGACTACAGGTATCTGTCCCTAGGCTAGGATTTACTAGACAACAGGTATCTAACCTTAGACTTGGTTTTACTAGACTACAGTATCTGTCTCTAGGCCAGGTTTTATTAGACTACAGGTTTCTGTCTCTGGACTAGGTTTTACTAGACTACAGGTATCTGTCTCTAGGCCAGGTTTTACTAGACTACAGGTATCTGTGCCTAGGCCAGGTTTTACTAGACTACAGGTATCTAGGCCAGGTTTTACTAGACCAGGTTCTATTAAATACAGGTATCTGTCTCTGGGCTATGTTTTACTAGACTACAGGTATCTGTCTCTAGGCCAGGTTTTACTAGACTACAGGTATCTGTCCCTAGGCCAGGTTTTACTAGACTACAGGTATCTGTCCCTTGGCCAGGTTTTATTAGACTACAGGTATCTGTCTCTAGGCCAGGTTTTACTAGACTACAGGTAACTGTCTCTAGGCCAGGTTTTACTAGACTACAGGTATCTGTGCCTAGGCCAGGTTTTACTAGACTACAGGTATCTGTCCCTGGGCTAGGTTTTACTAGACTACAGGTATCTGTTCCTAGACCAGGTTCTATTAAATATCAGGTATCTGTCCTTGGACTATGTTTTACTAGACTACAAGTATCTGTCTCTAGGCCAGGTTTTACTAGACTACAGGTATCTGTCCCTAGGCCAGGTTTTACTAGACTACAGGTATCTACAGGTATCTGTGCTCAACAGGTATCTAACCTTAGACTTGGTTTTACTAGACTACAGTATCTGTCTCTAGGCCAGGTTTTATTAGACTACAGGTTTCTGTCTCTGGACTAGGTTTTACTAGACTACAGTATCTGTCTCTAGGCCAGGTTTTACTAGACTACAGGTATCTGTCCCTTGGCCAGGTTTTATTAGATTACAGGTATCTGTCTCTAGGCCAGGATTTACTAGACTACAGATATCTGTCCCTGGGCTAGGTTTTACTAGACTACAGGTATCTGTTCCTAGACCAGGTTCTATTAAATATCAGGTATCTGTCCCTGGACTAGGTTTTACTAGACTACAGGTATCTGTCCCTGGGCTAGGTTTTACTAGACTACAGGTATCTGTTCCTAGACCAGGTTCTATTAAATATCAGGTATCTGTCCCTGGGCTATGTTTTACTAGACTACAGGTATCTGTCCCTTGGCCAGGTTTTATTAGATTACAGGTATCTGTCCCTAGGCCAGGATTTACTAGACTACAGGTATCTGTCTCTAGGCCAGGTTTTACTAGACTACAGGTATCTGTCTCTAGGCCAGGTTTTACTACACTACAGGTATCTGTCTCTAGGCCAGGATTTACTAGACTACAGATATCTGTCTCTAGGCCAGGTTTTACTAGACTACAGGTATCTGTCTCTAGGCCAGGTTTTATTAGACTACAGGTATTTGTCTCTAGGACAGGTTTTACCAGACTACAGGTATCTGTCTCTGGGCTATGTTTTACTAGACTACAGGTATCTGTCCCTAGGCCAGGTTTTACTAGACTACAGGTATCTGTCTCTGGACTAGGTTTTACTAGACTACAGGTATCTGTCCCTGGGCTAGGTTTTACTAGACTACAGGTATCTGTTCCTAGACCAGGTTCTATTAAATATCAGGTATCTGTCCCTGGGCTATGTTTTCCTAGACTACAAGTATCTGTCTCTAGGCCAGGTTTTACTAGACTACAGGTATCTGTCCCTAGGCCAGGTTTTATTAGATTACAGGTATCTGTCCCTAGGCCAGGTTTTATTAGACTACAGGTATTTGTCTCTATGCTAGGTTTTACAAGACAACAGATATCTGTCTCTAGGCCAGGTTTTACTAGACTACAGGTATCTGTGCCTAGGCCAGGTTTTACTAGACTACAGGTATCTGTCCCTAGGCCAGGTTTTACTAGACTACAGGTATCTGTCTCTGGGCTATGTTTTACTAGACTACAGGTATCTGTCCCTAGGCTAGGTTTTATTAGACTACAGGTTTCTGTCTCTAGGCCAGGTTTATTAGACTACAGGTTTCTGTCTCTAGGCCAGGTTTTATTAGACTACAGATTTCTGTCCCTCAGCCAGATTTTACAAGATACATTTGTCCCTGGGCTAGCTTTTACCTTAAGAACACCTGTAAACACTAATACACAACAACACTTTATGCAACACATGTACATATAATCAAGCTTTGTTTTGATGAAAACAAAATCATGTATAATTCTTTTAATCAAAATAACTGCCTTTATTGAAACAATTTTAGTAATTTTCAATTATGAAATTGTAGGTATAAAGTAACATTTTAACATGAGTTCCATTTTACCCAAGATAACAATAACACTTGTGTACAGGTTTATCCCACCTGTAATAGCCTTACCTGTCCGTATCGATGCCAGTGTCGCAGAAGGAAGGGCTTAGCGAACCACATCCAAGGTACACAGGCCAGGGCCAGTAACACAAGGAAAATCTGGAATCCTTTCTGTGGATCATATACATATTTAACTAGTAATATAATGGATTATTAACAAAAATAACAACATTGATAACAATAGTAAAACTATGATAGAATTTTTATAAAGGTAACTACTAGCAACATATACACAACCTACCTGACCAGCATAGAAAGGTCGCACACTTGGCTGGGCATTCTCATCATAGGAAAACAGCACCATGTTTATCAAACCTGAAACAATGAATATATGAACAAATTTTCACCACTGTTTATATCATAATGAATTTATGTCATAATAGATATTATAACAAGTTTAGGTTGTAATAGAGTGCAAAATATTGTTGTGTGAAAAGTTCAGGTGCAAATCTTGCAAATAAGTTGATTGGGGAAATTGCCAAGGTTCCTATAGAGCCTTACCATCAGTAGATTGGGGACATTGCCAAGGTCCCTATAGAGCCTTACCATCAGTAGATTGGGGACATTGCCAAGGTCCCTATAGAGCCTTACAATCAGTAGATTGGGGACAGTGCCAAGGTCCCTATAGAGCCTTACAGACCAGTAGATTGGGGACATTGCCAAGGTCCCTATAGAGCCTTACAGACCAGTAGATTGGGGAAATTGCCAAGGTCCCTATAGAGCCTTACCATCAGTAGATTGGGGACATTGCCAAGGTCCCTATAGAGCCTTACCATCAGTAGATTGGGGACATTGCCAAGGTCCCTATAGAGCCTTACCATCAGTAGATTGGGGACATTGCCAAGGTCCCTATAGAGCCTTACAATCAGTAGATTGGGGACAGTGCCTAGGTCCCTATAGAGCCTTACAGACCAGTAGATTGGGGACATTGCCAAGGTCCCTATAGAGCCTTACAGACCAGTAGATTGGGGAAATTGCCAAGGTCCCTATAGAGCCTTACCATCAGTAGATTGGGGACATTGCCATGGTCCCTATAGAGCCTTACCATCAGTAGATTGGGGACATTGCCAAGGTCCCTATAGAGCCTTACCATCAGTAGATTGGGGACATTGCCAAGGTCCCTATAGAGCCTTACAAATTAGTAGTTTGGGGACATCGCCAAGGTCCCTATAGAGCCTTACAGACCAGTAGATTGGGGACATTGCCAAGATCCCTATAGAGCCTTACAATCAGTAGATTGGGGACATTGCCAGTGTGCCTGTAGAGCCTTACAGACCAGTAGATTGGGGACATTGCCAAGGTCCCTTAGAGCCTTACCATCAGTAGATTGGGGACATTGCCAAGGTCCCTATAGAGCCTTACAGACCAGTAGATTGGGGAAATTGCCAAGGTCCCTACAGAGCCTTACAAATTAGTAGATTGAGGACATTGCCAAAGTCCCTATAGAGCCTTACCATCAGTAGATTGGGGACATTGCCAAGGTCCCTATAGAGCCTTACAAACCAGTAGATTGGGGACATTGCCAAGGTCCCTATAGAGCCTTACAGACCAGTAGATTGGGGACATTGCCAGTGTGCCTGTAGAGCCTTACCTATAAGCAGATTCGGTGCATTGCCTGTGTCCTTGTATGTGAATGTTGTCCACTTGACGAAGATAAGAATAATGAGGTAACCAAACATACAGAAAAGGAAGATCACTTGAGGTATAAATTCACAGTATATGTTGATTGCTTTGTTGAAATATCTGAAAAACAAAGTAGAGATTTTCACATCAATTTCATACAAAAATCCATTCTTATCAATAATAAACCAATAATAAAGGTTTTGTTTTAAATGTAATCCTACCTATGCCTCTATTATCTTTCAGGACAAGTCATCCCTGAGGGATCTTGTTGTCCACTATGTATGATATTTATTTGTTCTTTAAATGTAGGATCTTTTCCCCTTTTTTCTCTTTTTTTCTTTTTATTATGCCTTTAATCAATGAAATTTAAGAACTACACTTCTGAAACTAGGGACTAGGGGAAACCTACACACGAAATTCGAGAAATATCCAAAAAGTTTTCTAAAGAAATAGCCACATCTAGAACTATAAAGAACAGATGACAGACAGACAATTGGAAAAACCCATCATCATCAGGTTTCTGTGGGTACACTTACCTGCTATTGATAAAGCTGAGACCAACACCGAAGAACATCTGGGACACTCCAAGTATTACAGACAGCTTCATCTTGATTGAGTTGGTAACTGTGATCTTGTTCTTGGACATTGACCATACCTGTTAATAGTGACATTGGACACTGACCATACCTGTTAATAGTGACATTGGATACTGACCATACCTGTTAATAGTGGCATTGGATACTGACCATACCTGTTAATAGTGACATTGGACACTGACCATACCTGTTAATAGTGACATTGGACACTGACCATACCTGTTAATAATGACATTGGACACTGACCATACCTGTTAATAGTGACATTGGACACTGACCATACCTGTTAATAGTGGCATTGAATACTGACCATACCTGTTAATAATGACATTGGATACTGACCATACTTGTTAATAGTGACATTGGATACTGACCATACCTGTTAATAGTGACATTGGACACTGACCATACCTGTTAATAGTGACATTGAATACTGACCATACCTGTTAATAGTGACGTTGAATACTGACCATACCTGTTAATAATGACATTGGATACTGACCATACCTGTTAATAGTGACATTGGATACTGACCATACCTGTTAATAGTGACATTGGATACTGACCATACACAAGATGCCCAATTGGCCTGCATAGCCTGATATTCAATGTTTATCAGAAATAGAATCTGTGTAAATAACACAAATATATCTACATGTACACCATTTGCAGTCAAAGTGAGCACATCCCATTGATTTTAACCACTTTCCACAACAAATAGCTTCCAATACAGTATACTCAACTCTAAACAGTGACAATTATCGACCTGGATTTTAAGTAAATGTCATCAAATTTGTTGAGCTTTGACCTTGAAACACCATTCCATCAAAGATCATGCTTTTTGGACTTTTGGTTTACCGGAAGAAATCTCTTACAGGTTTAAAAAAATATTGTCAGTCATGATACTCGGAACTAATCCACTAAATACCATGGTTGGTCAGGAAAATTTAATCATAGAATTACTTTTCAGCCCAGGTGAGCTAAAAAGTTAATTATAGAAAATTACTTTCATGATGTGAGCTCAGATTTAATATTGTATAAGTTTCTTTGTCTCTTAAAAAATTACTCAGAAGTCATTTTGGATTTTTGTCTGATTTGCAATACTATTCATTATGCATCTTCAATTATCATGTTTGATGGATGGTGTTTCATACCATCAAGATAATCAATATTTGCTGGGTGTTATTTTACAACTAATTGGAATACTATGACAATATCTTACAACTCATATCAACAAACTACTGATGTGGCAGCCAACTGTTCAGGCAGAGACAGGAAATAGTAAACATAGTGATAATATAGAACCTAAGATAATAACATATCCTGTTAACCCACTTTGGCTGAAAAACAAAGCCGATAATAACATATCCTGTTAACCCACTTTGGCTGAAAAACAAAGCCGATAATAACATATCCTGTTAACCCACTTTGGCTGAAAAACAAAGCACTTGAAATATCAGAGAGAAGGTACAGAAAATGAGATAATCGAGTAAAATGATATGTGCCTGCCGAGGTATAGATAAATTAGGAAGTACACATACCGGGTCAAGACCAAACGGGTAGGGTCCAGACACATAGCTCGTCCCGACATCTAATACAAGATTTTCTGATCCATTCAAGGTCTTCAATGTATAGGTACTACAAAGGGAACACACAAAAGTTACTCTTATAACTGATCTGATCCGACGAATAATATCTGTACACTTTCAAAACAATTACCATTAGTAAGAAATAGAAAAATGTCCAGTATACTTGTCTAATACAGGACTTTTTCAGACATATTGTTATATTCATTAAATTGGCTGGTTAATAAGCTGATGTCAACTATCAACAATAAGAAATAAGATTTTTCTATACCTATGTTAAAGTGTGTGTTACTTACTTATTAGTTTGAGGGTCTATTGGATACCACGCAGAGCCAAATATATTGACTGATTTGGAGTAAAAGTCATTGTAGAGGAGGCCAGTGTAGAGAGAGAAAGCTCCCATCAACAATATAACGTATCTACCGCTGAAGAATATCTCAAAGATCTGTAAACAACAATATAACGTATCTACCGCTGAAGAATATCTCAAAGATCTGTAAACAATAGTGTAACATAACTAACACTGAAGAATATCTCAAAGATCTGTAAACAACAATATAACGTAACAATCTCAAAGTGTAACTGAAGAATCTCAAAGATCTGTAAACAACAATATAACGTATCTACCGCTGAAGAATATCTCAAAGATCTGTAAACAACAATATAACGTATCTACCGCTGAAGAATATCTCAAAGATCTGTAAACAACAATATAACGTATCTAATGCTGAAGAATATCTCAAAGATCTGTAAACAACAATATAACGCTGAAGAATATCTCAAAGATCTGTAAACAACAGTGTAACATAACTAACACTGGAGAATATCTCAAAGATCTGTAAACAACAATATAACGTATCTACCGCTGAAGAATATCTCAAAGATCTGTAAACAATAGTGTAACATAACTAACACTGAAGAATATCTCAAAGATCTGTAAACAACAATATAACGTATCTACCGCTGAAGAATATCTCAAAGATCTGTAAACAACAATATAACGTATCTACCGCTGAAGAATATCTCAAAGATCTGTAAACAACAGTGTAACATAACTAACACTGGAGAATATCTCAAAGATCTGTAAACAACAATATAACGTATCTATATCTGCTGAAGAATATCTCGCTGAAGAAAGATCTGTAAACAATATCTCAAAGATCTGTAAACAACAATATATCTAACACTGAAGAATCAATATAATCTCATAAGATCTGTAAACAATAGTGTAACATAACTAACACTGAAGAATATCTCAAAGATCTGTAAACAACAATATAACGTATCTACCGCTGAAGAATATCTCAAAGATCTGTAAACAATAGTGTAACATAACTAACACTGAAGAATATCTCAAAGATCTGCTGAAGAATATCTCAAAGATCTGTAAACAACAATATAACATAACTAACACTGAAGAATATCTCAAAGACTGTAAACAATAGTGTAACATAACTAACTGAAGAATATCTAGATCTGTAAACAAAGATATCAAAGATCTGTAAACAATAGTGTAACATACTACACATCTGTAAACAACAATATAACGTATCTACCGCTGAAGAATATCTCAAAGATCTGTAAACAACAATATAATGTATCTATCGCTGAAGAATATCTCAAAGATCTGTAAACAACAGTGTAACATAACTAACACTGGAGAATATCTCAAAGATCTGTAAACAACAGTGTAACATAACTAACACTGAAGAATATCTCAAAGATCTGTAAACAATAGTGTAACATAACTAACACTGAAGAATATCTCAAAGATCTGTAAACAACAATATAACGTATCTACCGCTGAAGAATATCTCAAAGATCTGTAAACAATAGTGTAACATAACTAACACTGAAGAATATCTCAAAGATCTGTAAACAATAGTGTAACATAACTAACACTGAAGAATATCTCAAAGATCTGTAAACAATAGTGTAACATATCTACCAGTAAATATATTTATAACTTAATGAATATTTAAGATAAGGAAAAATGATACTTGAAAACTTTAAGCTCTAATTACTAAACAGCAATAAGTGGTAACACTACAAATTTTTACTGCTGAAATGTAATTATATATAAACAAGCTCAATTGTAGTAATATTAATGAAATGTATCTCAAAAGCCCAAGTAAGTACAAAAAGAGGCCCAAGGGGCCTGCTGAAATGTAATTATATATAAACAAGCTCAATTGTAGTAATATTAATGAAATTTAATAAAGAATTTCTACTAGGACAAACAATTTCTGATATAATTTCCCTATTAGGCCCTCTCCTTGTGGTTAAACAGAGGTCAGATTAACTTTTCCCTTGGGATACTTCTGACAAAATTTGGTCAAAATCCTGTAAAACGTTTACACCATAAGCTCAAACGGCCCTTCAGACTAGGTGAGCTATAAATTAAGCAATACCTCGTTATCAATTTTCTTGGCTTGTATCTGTTTCTCCTTCAGGACCAGGGCAAGTGCGAACAGGAACATGATGATTCCATGTCCAGTGTCACCGAACATGACAGCAAACAGAAACGGGAAGGAAATGATGGTATACAGTGCTGAAAGGTAAACCATAGAAAATATTAGGAAACAAGGTGATGATATACAGTGCTGTAAGGTAAACCATAGAAGATATTAGGAAACAAGGTGATGATATACAGTGCTGTAAGGTAAACCATAGAAGATATTAGGAAACAAGGTGATGATATACAGTGCTGTAAGGTAAACCATAGAAGATATTAGGAAACAAGGTGATGATATACAGTGCTGTAAGGTAAACCATAGAAGATATTAGGAAACAAGGTGATGATATACAGTGCTGTAAGGTAAACCATAGAAGATATTAGGAAACAAGGTGATGATATACAGTGCTGTAAGGTAAACCATAGAAGATATTAGGAAACAAGGTGATGATATACAGTGCTGTAAGGTAAACCATAGAAGATATTAGGAAACAAGGTGATGATATACAGTGCTGTAAGGTAAACCATAGAAGATATTAGGAAACAAGGTGATGATATACAGTGCTGTAAGGTAAACCATAGAGATATTAGGAAACAAGGTGATGATATACAGTGCTGTAAGGTAAACCATAGAAGATATTAGGTAATGAGATAATAGTACACAGCACTGTAAAGTACTACAAAGAGCAACTCACAATCAATTATTCCTTATCACTTACTTTCTCTTACAGGTTTAAAATACAGTCATACAGGATGTTTTGGGGTGTGTTTAACAAAGGAGCTCATTTGTTTCAATCACACAGACAGAATACAGATGACAATGAGTTATAGAAATCAGTCCAGTAACAAGTAGACAGAATACAGATGACAATGAGTTATAGAAATCAGTTCACAAACACATAGATTACAAATGACAATGAATTATAGAAAACAAATCCATGAAAACATAGACAGAACATAAAAGACAATGATTTATATAAATCAGTCCAGTAACACCAACAGAATATAGAAGACAATGAGTTATATAAATCAGTCCTGTAACACAGACAGAATATAGAAGACAATGAGTTATATAAATCAGTCCAGTAACACAGACAGAACATAAAAGACAATGATTTATATAAATCAGTCCAGTAACACCAACAGAATATAGAAGACAATGAGTTATATAAATCAGTCCTAACACAGACAGAATATAGAAGACAATGAGTTATATAAATCAGTCCTGTAACACAGACAGAATATAGAAGACAATGAGTTATATAAATCAGTCCAGTAACACAGACAGAATATAGAAGACAATGAGTTATATAAATCAGTCCAGTAACACAGACAGAATATAGAAGACAATGAGTTATATAAATCAGTCCAGTAACACAGACAGAATATAGAAGACAATGAGTTATATAAATCAGTCCAGTAACACAGACAGAATATAGAAGACAATGAGTTATATAAATCAGTCCTGTAACACAGACAGAATATAGAAGACAATGAGTTATATAAATCAGTCTATGAACACTTACCTGGATTGACCTCTCTGTAACTAGCCACACCATAGGCATCAACAATGTTTTGGAAGGCCTGAGTGAACTTATTGGTGCGGTTGTAAGTTGGAGGGACCTGTTTGGTCATCATACGGTTGAGAATCGATGGCACCGAGCTGCCACTTCTTTCCTGTAAAATAATCATTCTAGTTTACTTTAATGTTCCCCTTAGTCAACATCCTCATCAGTCACAGGATTATAATGACCCAAGATATAGGATCACATGATCGCAATGACCCCAGATATAGGATCACATGATCACAATGACCCCAGATATAGGATCACATGATCACAATGACCCCAGATATAAGATCACATGATCACAATGACCCCAGATATAGGATCACATGATCACAATGACCCCAGATATAGGATAACATGATCACAATGACCACAAATATTGGATCACATGATCATCATGACTATTTTTCAACTAACATCTCATTTTACAGACTAGCCAGTCACACAAACTTTTGGGAAGGGGGAAGTACATGTAAATATAATCTTTTGAAGTGAACTTCCTTTTATTTATAAAAATCAAGAACATAGTAAATCTTGGTCATGAAATTAAGACAGAAGAATTAAGACAGAAAAATTAAGACAGAAGAATTAAGACAGAAGAATTAAGACACCAAAATGTAGGACCTTTTTCTTAGTTTTCCCTGGTATACAGCTTGTATTTTAGTACCTTAACTAAAAAGTCATGATGATAAAATCTATCTTACCGTGCCTCTCCGAAGTGCCTGCTGAATGCGGTCAAGGTCACCAACAGGACACCAACACTCTGCGATGAGACATTTCTGAGTGACGTCCAGATTGAACATGTTGAGGGTGTGGTAGATGGCTTTGATTTTTCTAACTTTGATAAACCAAACCTTTATGTTACGTGCTGCAGCAACCAACACACGATGTCTGTGGTCCTGGGTCTGACTCAGAACCTAAAGAAACAGAATCTTAAACATGTACTAATTACTGTTAAGTATTGGCACTTAATAGACAACACTAATGTGTGCTGAATTTCTGATACTGATTACCATTCAATATGGGAATGAATTTCTGATACTGATTACCATTCAATATGGGAATGAATTTCTGATTACCATTCAATATGGGAATGAATTGATCTGATTACCATTCAATATGTACTGATTACCATTCAATATGGGAATGAATTTCTGATACTGATTACCATTCAATATGGGAATGAATTTCTGATACTGATTACCATTCAATATGGGAATGAATTTCTGATACTGATTACCATTCAATATGGGAATGAATTTCTGATACTGAATACCATTCAATATGGGAATGAATTTCCAAAGTAAAATACATCAGGTAAAAACACTGGTCATTTAAAATTAATCTTAAAATAGAACATCTAAAATATCACATCAAGAAGCATTGATCTGCTAGCCTTTTTTATTTATTTGTATATCCAGTCAAAACGGTTATCACGATATTCAAAGGACAGTAGAAAATATTTTGACTTATCCAAATTTCGATTCAAACGAAGTGTATAAATGAGATTGATGATATCAGTTTCCTAACGTTGAGTTACGGTTGAATGAATACCCTTGCTGACAAAGCACATTTACATTATATATTTTATATATTATACATAAAATCCACGATGGCTGCCTATCGGCCATTTTGTTTTTCTCATCAGTCCCAAACTCAAACAGGCAACTAGGGACCTAAAGGAACCTAAACATGAAATTTGAGAAAGATCTAAAGAGAAGTTCTCATCAAATAATGATAACAAACTTTCAAAGTCAAAATCTAAGATGTCTCTCTGACAGCCATTTTGTTTTTTTCTGATCAGTCCCAAATTCAAATTGGTACAACTAGGAACTAAGGAACCTATATGTGCAATAAGAGAAAGATCCATCCAGTACTTATCAAGAAATAGCAATAACAAAAATTGTTTACAGATAGACGAATCATGGACCACGGAGGCAGAGTGATTTGAATAGCCCACCATCATCAGATGATGGGTTAAAATCTGGACATGAAAACTATTTTGACTCAAACGGAATTTCAACTCAAGCGATTTCGAGACGAGTTTCAACTGTATACAGTTGTGTCAACATAATCCTTGAATATAGATTCCAGATATACATAATCCTGATAGTTACACTACAGTCTACAGAATACTTACTGTATTCAGATCTTCTATACGGGTCATTACACCAATAGCCATTTCTCTCCTCTCCGCTGGTGTTTCTGGACATGGGTATAAAGTGGCTCGGAATCTGTAGACATACACATTCATTTGAAAATAATATTACCAGAGGTTAGCTATTGTTATTACATGAAATTAACCTGCATAAGTACACAAGAATAACCTCTGTTAATATATGACATTTACTTATGCTAGTACATGAGGTTAACTAGTGTTAATAAATGAGGTCAACTTGTGTTAGTACATGAGGTTAACTCAGTCAGTATATAAGGTTAACTTGTGTTTGAACAGAAGATTAATTTGTGTTTGTACAGAAGGTTAACTTGTGTTAGTATATATGGTTAACTTGTGTTTGTACAGAAGGTTAATTTGTGTTTGTACAGAATGTTAACTTGTGTTAGTATATATGGTTAACTTGTGTTTGTACAGAAGGTTAACTTGGTCAGTATATAAGGTTAACTTATGTTTGTATAGAAGGTAAATTTGTGTTTGTACAGAAGGTTAACTTGGTCAGTATATAAGGTTAACTTGTGTTAGTATATATGGTTAACTTGTGTTAGTACATGAGGTTAACTCAGTCAGTATAGAAGGTAAATTTGTGTTTGTACAGAAGGTTAACTTGGTCAGTATATAAGGTTAACTTGTGTTTGTACAGAAGGTTAACTTGTGTACATGAGACAAACCTGCATTCAGGGTTAATATTAAGCAACATACTATGAAGTTAATACTTTGGCACACTGTATCTTGAAAATAGACTAAAATATACATGGACAGCAGTCAACTTACCCTTCACAGATCTTCTTAACTCGAGATTTCAGTTGTTCCCCTTGGAAGAAGATAATAAATACAGATTTGTCTACTTGGTCCCCCTACAAAAGAATGACAAATAAATGACAGTAAGGCCTACAAAAGTGAACATTCAGAAAACAGCAGTATGATAACATACAGACTAATTGATTAATTCATGACTTACACTTTCCAGATAACCATTTTCCAATTCATCCTGTTACACATTTTTCTAATTTCGTCTGATACCTATGACCTGGTTTTCAATTAGACTATGCTGGACTTACAGTATACAGTTATTTGCATGTTTTTAAAAGAATTACAAAAACTAGAGAATATCTCTACAGGACATGAATAGCTCAGATCCTGTATAAACCTGAATCTGATCTTGATGTTTCGACATTACTATGGGGTAAATATAACCAAATATGGTTCTGAAGACATAATTTTCATCCAGAATGGGATGCAACAGGGCAGACAAAGATTCTATATACCTCACTCCCCTTTCCTTTAAACTTTAAATAGACAGCACATACCGTGACTGGGTCCTCCAGAGGGTTGTCAATTTCAGCTTGTCGCAAAAACACATTTCCCCGGCACACTCGCCACAACATACGCTCAAACGCTGGGATCCTCTCTCGTAGAATAACACCAGCCACAAACCTAACAGTAGACATCAATATATAACAAACTTATATCTCAACAAACCTCCAGTAAGCCACTTGAAAAGTTTCAGAATTCTAAATAATATAATTTAATAATAAACATAAGTCAATTAGAGGAATGCTATAAGTATGACTCATGGGACCCTGTGTATGTAACAGACTGCCGTAAATATGACTCATGGGACCCTGTGTATGTAACAGACTGCTGTAAATATGACTCATGGGACCCTGTGTATGTAACAGACTGCTGTAAATATGACTCATGGGACCCTGTGTATGTAACAGACTGTTGTAAATATGACTCATGGGACCCTGTGTATGTAACAGACTGCTGTAAATATGACTCATGGGACCCTGTGTATGTAACAGACTGCTGTAAATATGACTCATGGGACCCTGTGTATGTAACAGACTGCTGTAAATATGACTCATGGGACCCTGTGTATGTAACAGACTGCTGTAAATATGACTCATGGGACCTTGTGTATGTAACAGACTGCTGTAAATATGACTCATGTGACCCTGTGTATGTAACAGACTGCTGTAAATATAACTCATGGGACCCTGTGTATGTAACAGACTGCTGTAAATATGACTCATGAGATCTTCAGTATGTAATAGACTACTGTAAATATGACTCAAGAGACAATGTGTATGAAACAGACTGCTGTAAATATGACTCATGGGACCCTGTGTATGTAATAGACTGCTGTAAATATGACTCATGAGATCTTCAGTATGTAACAGACTGCTGTAAATATGACTCATGAGATCTGCAGTATGTAATAGACAGCTGTAAATATGACTCATGAGATCTTCGGTATGTAATAGAAGAAACCGTTGTAAATATGACTCATGAGATCTTCAGTATGTAATAGACTGCTGTAGATATGACTCATGAGATCTTCAGTATGTAATAGACCGCTGTAAATATGACTCATGGGATCTTCAGTATGTAATAGACCGCTGTAAATATGACTCATGGGATCTTCAGTATGTAATAGAAGGAACTGCTGTAAATATGACTCATGAGATCTTCAGTATGTAATAAAAGAAACCGTTGTAAATATGACTCATGGGATCTTCAGTATGTAATAGACTGCTGTAAATATGACCCATGAGATCTTCAGTATGTAATAGAAGAAACCGTTGTAAATATGACTCATGAGATCTTCAGTATGTAATAGACTGCTGTAAATATGACTCATGAGATCTTCAGTATGTAATAGAAGAAACCATTGTAAATATGACTCATGAGATCTTCAGTATATAACAGACTGCTGTAAATATGACTCATGGGATCTTCAGTATGTAACAGACCGCTGTAAATATGACACATGGGATCTTTAGTATGTAATAGAAGGAACTGCTGTAAATATGACCTATGGGATCTTCAGTATGTAACAGACTACTGTAAATATGACTCATGGGACCATGTGTATGAAACAGACCGCTGTAAATATGACATGGGATCTTTAGTATGTAATAGACTGCTATAAGTATGACTCATGAGATCTTCAGTATGTAATAGACTGCTATAAGTATGACTCATGGGATCTTCAGTATGTAATAGACTGCTATAAGTATGACTCATGAGATCTTCAGTATGTAATAGAAGGAACCGTTGTAAATATGACTCATGGGATCTTCAGTATGTAATAGAAGGAACTGCTGTGAATATGACTCATGACAGGGTTCGAAATTAACTATATACAACTAGCAAAATTCCAGCTAAAATCTGGTAATTGCTAGCTGGAAAATAATGAACTAGCAAAATTTTGCGAGTGCAAATGAACTATACCTAATCACTATTTTTGACGGAACATCTGCCACAAAATGCCTTTCTCCGTCTGCCTTTAAATGAGTAAATAGGTTACAAACGCTAAAGTGACATAGATTATCAATACATTCGGAATTCCTCCAGTTTTTCCCTTGATAGTTATGTGTAAACCGAATAAAAAGTTGTCTTGGAAAACTCTACAATTTCTGTCTGCTCATCATGTGAAACGCGACATATCAGCTATGATAACAAACTTTTTCAAAAGGAAAGCATCTGACAGTGCTTGCGATGACCAAGACAATAGTCAACAGCCACAGCCTGGCCCTTCTGAAAAAAAATCGTCGAAATCGGAGAGCGTTTCTCCTGACGCTGCTGATATAAAATCACCGCCACAACAACGTGCATATACGACCACGTTAAAAACAGTACGGAAATGAGAAAAAGAATTGAATATTATTCTAGGATACAACAAATCATCTAGTAACGATGTTGTTAATACAGTATGGCGCAATGACTGCCGAGAACACGGAAGATAGTTGTCTTGATAATAATTTATTGAAATGATCGTTAATGTGAACAATTTTTTAAATAATATAAATTTGGGTACAGTTACATTTATAAATGGATCTGATCATATGACAGTCAGATTAGATGTAGCTCATACATGAAAAAAAGAAAACTGATAAATTCAAAGTTATATAGATTTAAAATGTTGATACAGGTAGCAATCAGCCATTCTTATCCAATGTCTTGGATAACTTTTCCAATATCACTCAGTTCCTGAAAAACTCAATATAACAGTAAATAAAAGTCAAACCTATTCACCAAAAAATTGCTAGTTTGTTCATCATTTTTGCTAGTGGAAATTTTAGGCACTAGCAACCATTGCTAGTGCCTAAAACAGTTAATTTCGACCCCTGTCATGAGATCTTCAGTATGTAATAGACTGCTGTAAATATGACTCATGAGATCTTCAGTATGTAATAGACCGCTGTAAATATGACGCATGGGATCTTCAGTATGTAATAGACCGCTGTAAATATGACTCATGGGATCTTCAGTATGTAATAGACCGCTGTAAATATGACTCATGGGATCTTCAATATGTAATAGACCGCTGTAAATATGACTCATGGGATCTTCAGTATGTAATAGAAGGAACTGCTGTAAATATGACTAATGAAATCTTCATTTTGTAGTACAAGGCCATTTCCTTTCTTAATATCCTTTCAATCATCAGAAACTACATCATCCTACCTCACTACTTACTGTAGATAGTGGTCAATACATCATCCTACCTCACTACTTACTGTAGATAGTGGTCAGAGACTACATCATCCTACCTCACTACTTACTGTAGATAGTGGTCAGAGACTACATCATCCTACCTCACTACTTACTGTAGATAGTGGTCAGAGACTACATCATCCTACCTCACTACTTACTGTAGACAGTGGTCAGAGACTGCATCATCCTACCTCACTACTTACTGTAGATAGTGGTCAGAGACTTCATCATCCTACCTCACTACTTACTGTAGATAGTGGTCAGAGACTACATCATCCTACCTCACTACTTACTGTAGATAGTGGTCAGAGACTTCATCATCCTACCTCACTACTTACTGTAGATAGTGGTCAATACATCATCCTACCTCACTACTTACTGTAGATAGTGGTCAGAGACTTCATCATCCTACCTCACTACTTACTGTAGATAGTGGTCAGAGACTACATCATCCTACCTCACTACTTACTGTAGATAGTGGTCAGAGACTTCATCATCCTACCTCACTACTTACTGTAGATAGTGGTCAGAGACTTCATCATCCTACCTCACTACTTACTGTAGATAGTGGTCAGAGACTACATCATCCTACCTCACTACTTACTGTAGATAGTGGTCAGAGACTACATCATCCTACCTCACTACTTACTGTAGATAGTGGTCAGAGACTGCATCATCCTACCTCACTACTTACTGTAGATAGTGGTCAGAGACTGCATCATCCTACCTCACTACTTACTGTAGATAGTGGTCAGAGACTTCATCATCCTACCTCACTACTTACTGTAGATAGTGGTCAGAGACTGCATCATCCTACCTCACTACTTACTGTAGATAGTGGTCAAAGAGTAACACTAACAGAGCCTCTCATTCAAAACAAGAGGTTGGTCAGTTTGGTTTTTGTAGAACTGCAATAGATGTATTTACACACAATGTACATGTATATGGGCTTATTGCTGGTTAACTATAACCTCAGTAAATCCTCCTATGATATTTATGACCAAGGCAAAATGATACATTAGCCATTGAGGAGGCCTTACCCAAGTCTGAGAGCTTGTCCAGTACGCTGAGCCTCCTCTCCTAGTAGTCCTAGGTTCTCCTCTGTGAGAGCCGGGTCATGTAAGGCCTGAGAGTGATGAAGTTCAGCCTGGTCAAATAAGGATACATAACAAAATAAAATCACCCCTCCCTCACAAAAACAAGCAAAAAATAAATACTACAAAATCACACAACAAACTGAAAAAAACAAAAACACACAACAAACTAAATGCCATATTGATTCCAGTACAGAGATCACTTGTACTTTCTTTGTGGCTAAGCATTCACTGGCAAACTAGACACAATAATGATAACAGTACATCTGTTGATGGTGTGGCAATATCTTCTATAATACTGAACAATTAACTAACTAGTAGATTTATCATTTCAACCTATAGGTGAAGCTGTCATCTTGACATTATAACTATGACTGAACACACAGGATTGGATTATTACTTTGTCCACAGATGTATTTGCTTTTATCTGACAATAGAAATTTTTTCCTTTTTTTTTCTCTTTATTTTTCACAAAAAAAATTTGATAGAGGAGATAAATTACTTGACTGAGTGAAAATAGAAAAGACAAGCTGCTGTGCTGTTTGTTAGTGACACTGTACTCTAGCTCTGTTGTATCTAGGCTAAGTATCATAATCTAAATGTATATTGAACTTAACAAGACAAGACCCCGTGATTAGTTCCCCTGTGATTAGTTCCCCAGTGATTAGTTCCCCAACGGTCAAAGCAGTTCAGTGATAATGTAATCCTATTGCAGCCTCAGTCTGAGCCAGGATACTTACAGTGTACTGTTAAATTTTATTTTATAGCTGGAACATTAACAAAATTGACATGCTCTGGACAATTTGCCATCAAAAATTAACAAAGGGTCAAAAGGTCAGAATACAGAATGGGAGATTGAAACTTGAATTGATTTACACTCCAAATTTCTGCTATCTGGAGAGATGTTACCACCATCTATATACTGTTTCAACCATTAAACACTGTAAGGCACAAACTTCCATAAATACAATGTCACATGCAAAATTCTAACTGAATTAAACACACATTACAAATTGATATCTACATATTCAGAAAATCTGAAGTGGTATCCTAATACAAATTACTGACTGAAATATTTGAGTTCTCTGCTGAACGGAATGACACCATTATCATGTATCACATTTACATCCTAAGTTTAAAAACTTGTATACCAGGTACATACTTGATGAATGAGAGAGTTTGTGTACAGAATTATAACATTTCAGTATCCTACTTGTATCTTGTATTTCTTATATAAGGTATCATATTCCAAATTCACATATACAACTTGAAACAATATGTGACAAATAAAAGGCTGTTGCTTTATTTTTCTCCATCTTCTTTGTTCTGTATTGAATAATAGATAAGAAAATGTATGCAAGACCTATCCCCTCCTCCTATCAATGAAATTTGACTCAATTCCATTAAAAGATGAAGACGCTAAGTGTTTAAATTGAATCAGTTGATGATTTTCTATATATAGCACGAGTGACCTAGGAATTGACCTTGGGCCCCTGAAACACAATGATGTGCCAAGTACACTTATAATTGATCTTTGTATAAATTTTGCAAAATTATATCAAAGAATGAAGATGCTAGGTGCTTTCATTGAATCAAGGTGGGATAGGACAGGATGCACTGCGACAGGTTGGACAGACATGCCCAATGCTTTATACACCCATTTTAAGACAGGGCATGAAAAATATAGAACTTTATCTGTTGTAAATACTCATGTGATTAAGTAATAAAGTGACAACCACACAAACCAGACAGTGAAACATGATCTGTTTCACAAAACCTTGTAACAAATACTGGGGTAGCGTCTTTTTATCATCTGATTTATATTTAGATAAAATAAAATTCAGATGTAAATATAACCACAAAACTGTGTTGATATGAAATAAAAAGGTGTTATAACAGATACACAACAAACCATAGTGTGCTAGCAAGCAATACCATCTTTCATGCAAAGCTGTGTCTTATAGCAACTACCAATTCCATATCAACTAATCTCCTGAAAGGCTGAAAGCCTAAGAGGTCAAGAGGCTGAGAGGATAAAAGCAGAGAGGCCAAAAGGTTGAATTGATGAGAGGCAGAGAGGCTGAAAGGCTGGAAGACTGAAAGGCCATGAGGCCAAGAGGCTGAGATGCCTAGAGGCTTTGAGGCCAAGAAGCTCAAAGGCTCAGAGGCCGAGAGACTAAAAGGCTTAGCAGACAAGAGGCCTAGTAGGCTGAGTGGCCGAGCAGTAGAAAGACAAAGATGACAAGTGACTGAGAGACTGAAAGGCCAAGAAGCTAAGAGGCTGAGAGGCTGGAAGACTGAGAGGCCAAGAAGCTAAGAGGCTTTGAGGCTAGAAGTTGAGAGCCCAAGAAGCTGAGTGGCAGTGCAGATAAATGGCCAAGAGGCTGAAAAGCCAAGAGGCTGTAATAACAGATATAAAATCTGTTAAATCAATAAATCAATTAATGAATATGAAGACAGCTTGATGCTTGTATATATAGTCAAAATACTAACCATCCATGCACAATGAGAAAACATACTGTTACAATGGGACAAAGACCTAGAGAATGCACTGGAATTTTTAGAATTTATTTTTTATTTCAAAATGTACATCATAGAATTAATTTTGCAACCAGGGTTTTATTTTACGGTTCTTTTATTCATTTTTTAATTCTTATTTTAGTTGAATAGCAAAATTATCTACGGGGAAACATTACGATTTTGACTGTGGCTACAGATTTTTTTCAAATTCAAAACTTAAAAATTAACATAGAATGCCCAAAAGTAAGACATAAACACAAAATATCTCTACATTATTATTCAGTGATCTATTAGAGTTTTAGCTATCCTAGTTGCCTCAGTTAATTTCATGTTGTACGATACTTTGCATGTTTTTATATATTTATAGCTGAATATAGGTATAGCAGGTAAAGTGAGTTCACACTACTTCTATTCATTAATGACTTTATAAACATGAAAAACAAACATCCTGTAGATTTGAAATATTTATATGCATTTTAAATAATTTGATAAAATGTATCTTTGAAATAATATATCATATCATGCTATTTGTAAATACATTTACTAATGTTCATAATAAAAATCCAAGTGCAGTCCTCACACTAAAGGCTGGAGAGGTTAACAGAAATAACTTCAAGGATAAAAGAAACAAAAACCCAACCCTCAATCCCTTAAAATATCATCCCTACATACAAATACAACCCTTATATCTGTTTAAATACAAAAATAAGATGCATAGGCTGTGTAATTGGCTTTGCACATTTAAAAAAATTTAACAGATATCCAATTGAGTAAAAAAAACATTACTTTTGATCTGAAATTGAAATACAAACAGATATGAATTCTTACATAAAGAACTTTTCTTTTACACAAAGCCAGATGATAAAACTTGACAAGTTATTAGAGGTCTGCGTTTACCTCATCAAAGAACGTCTGTGTTTTCCTGAGGATGTGCTTGAGTTCAGTAAGTTCCAGAAAGTTCCGTTTCAGGGCCTCTGAATTAGCGTTGACCTCCTTCATCTCATTCTCCAGCTTCTCAAAGGTAGCCTACAACCCCAAGCCAAGTTCTATTAATATCATATTATTTTACAACCGCTAATTAAATACCTGTAAAATAATCTAAAAGAGCACACATTAATGTGACTACCTATACCTCTGTCTTACTTTAACCTCATCTGAACACTCCATATCTTTATCTGGTTTGAACAATGCAAACCTTTGTCCAGTATGATCCCTTCCTTTTATCAAATTGAATTTTGTTGAAATATAGTACTGTTAAAGTATTTAAAATTTGGATGAACTTTGCTACAGTAGATAATATCTCACTTCCAAGTCTATCATCTCCCGAGGGGCCGGAGCATCTGGGTTATCACCCGTATCCAACATAGGGATGCCATCTTTCTTTATTTCCTTCTCCAAAAATCCTGAAAGGGAAAAATGAAAGTGTTTTCATTTCCTAAAATTTCAATGTTTTCAGTATACTGATGGCCAACATACTTCTAAAGTATTAATGAGGTTTTATACTAACAATACACACTGATTACATTCATACTTACTTAGTTTTCTTTCCATTTCATCACAGCGTCTTACTTCATTAACAAACTTCCTTTGAAAAGCATTTACATCTGGATTTAACTGAAAATACAAGCAGAAACATAAGTAGTCAAATAAATCAGATGTGATGTAAAGATAAATTCACTGTTGATTTTTAGTTTTATCAATTTCCTGTAAACATTAAAAGCATAAGTACATATGAAACAGACTTTCTAAACACAAGTATTAATTTCTCTGTAAATTGTATGAACTCAATCGTGTCCTTTATGTTACATATCCAGATTTCATTTCACAATATTTCAATATAAAGATCTCATATATGAGAGGAATCTGATGACAGTTAAGGTCTATAAAAGCCTTCTCCAGAGACTGATCTGTGTACAATTTTACAAAATGTAGAATTGAAGCACAATTGTCAACCTTTCTAATACCATGACAACCCTACCATGATAAATGGGGTAATACCAAAACACTTTGTGAAATTAATTACTTTTCACAAGTTACAGGAGTATTTTTTTGGAAAGATCTGGTTTGAGCAGTACAATGTCACTTCACACTGACTGGTCAGCAAACTCACATCTCGGAACTGGACTAGACCCAGCTCTCCCAGCTCAGATACACATGCATAAGATGCCTCAGACTGGAGGAATAGCTGACACAGTGTCATCTCTTCACTACGGAACATGGACCCCATCTTTATCGGTTAATTTGTCGCTCTCAATCGGTCTGGTCCAAATATCAGGTTTAAAACAAATGGTTCAGTCTGATGTTGATATCTGTAAAAAGTTTTAATAATTAGAAAATGTTTTTAAAATATACATAAATAGATCCATGATTATGATTACATGGCAATTGATGAAGCTGAACACAAATTTGAATACATATACGAAAGAATATCACAATGAAATTTCCGATGTTGCGATTTCGCAGGAATAAAAATATTACCATTCAAAATTTTAAAATGAAGATTAAGGAACTGACGATATTTCAGAATAAAAAGAATATGTACTCCGTGCATGGATATATATGATAATCAGGCATATGTGATATTATCCGATCACCATGTCAATGTCGATTATCACAGCCGCGAAACTGAAAAAAATCAAGATACATGTTGCACTGCCATTAATGAAAGAAATAAAGTTAACGCAAAAAAATGAAGAAACCACATTACCCATTACAATGGAGAACGACACGTCTGAATATGGCCTTAGGCCATCAACCTGATTCAACCCGTCAACGTTACAACGTGCCGGCTTATCAATGTTACGTTAGAAACAGGTCTTCATACTCACATTTACTCCACTGGCATTTGGATAAAACGTTTGGTCACTTTCTTAATTAAACACGAATGTCATTGGCATGACCTATCTGCTGCTCTAGCACCACCGCAGTCTCGCATAAATCGCCATAATTTATGAAACAATATCACAGCGATCAATATCTACTTCCATGTATTATCATATGACACAACGTCACCACCGAGAACAAAGATTTCCACATAAGGGAAATAACTCTTGTTAGTAAATGTAGCGAGGTGTGCCAAATACAAATGTCGACTTACCCAATACAGAAAGACAATCGGTATAGATAAAATAATCACACAACTGATATAAAATATAGATGTAGTCCGTGCCCGCGATATCTAGTTCTAAGAGAGACGTATAAATTGATTTTAACTGTACGTCTCTGGTTATTCTAGTTCTTAGTTTAAAATACAAGACAACAGAAATATTCAGACTTTATTTATGAGAAAATCAGCACTAATATGTTATGGATGATCGGGGACACTGTACAGTCCGTGTGTTTGTATGGTCTTTGGTACATATACTTAATCATAACTTAATGATAACGTCTTAATTCACTGCATGGTTCACTTTATTAGTATCCTCTATATTGCCACCAAAATGAAGAGTACAAAAGAAATGAAGCATATAATACAAAACATTTAGAATAAATATACACGATTACATACTAGACAATACACATACAAGGTATCAGGTTATAGAGCATATTAGTTCACAATAGTAGAGTACACGCATGGTACGTAGTATAGAAACATTACATCATACATATGTAATGAAATTAACTTTGTATTTTTTTAAAGTACATGCATATACCTCTATGCATGTATCTAGAGTACACGCATAGTATATAGTATACATACATTATATTATAATGGAAAGTATGAAATCAAACTATGGAATCAACATTGTAATTAGTGTTATAACTAGAGTATACACATGATGCGTTGCGGTTTCAACTTTGAAGAGATAATGTGTCCGAGTGGTAATTACGACAAAACTACCGATACTACAACTTTGATATTCTTTCTATAGCTACTATTGGAATTTATCTGAATTCAACATCTTCATCGTTTAGTTTGTAATTGAATGGTCACACAAGTAAAACACCTACATATCACAGGTACTCAACACACCTACAAACCACACCTACTGATCACATGTGCAGCTCAAACCTACAGATCATACCTATATATCACACCTACAGATCACACCTACAGATCACACATGCAGCTCATACCTATATATCACACCTACAGATCACACCTACAGATCACACATGCAGCTCATACCTATAGATCACACCTACAGATCACACGTGTACTTCACAGCTACAGATCACACGTACAAATTACACCTACAGATTACACCTACTGATCACATGTGCAGCTCATACCTACAGATCATACCTATTTATCACACCTACAGATCACACGTGGACTTCACAGCTACAGATCACATGTGCAGCTCATACCTACAGATCACACGTGTACTTCACAGCTACTGATCACATGTGCAGCTCATACCTACAGATCATACCTACATATCACACCTACAGATCAAACGTGTACTTAACAGCTACTGATCACATGTGCAGCTCATACCTACAGATCACACGTGTACTTCACAGCTACTGATCACATGTGCAGCTCATACCTACAGATCATACCTACATATCACACCTACATATCACACGTGCAGCTCATACCAACTAATCACATGAATAGATCTCATATGCAGCTCATACCTACAAATCACACATACAGAATAAAAACAGACAGATTTCATCTACAAATCACACTTGCAGCTCACATCTACAGATCACACGTACAGACCACATATGTCACACCTACAGATCGCACCTACAGTTTACACCTACATATCACAACTGCAGATCATAAGTGGAGATCACACCTACAGTTCACACATGCAGGTCACACCTACAGATTACACGTGCAACTCATACCTACATATTACACCTACAAACCACACATGCACCTCACACCTACAGATCACACGTGCATTTTATACCTACAGATCACACGTACATATCCCACCTACATATCACACGAGCAGCTCACATATACAGATCACGCCTACACATCACAAGTGTAGTTCACACTTACATACCATACATACAGATCACATATACAACTCAAACCTGCAGATCACACGTATATATCCCACATACAGATCACAGGTACAGGTCACATGTGCAGATCATACCTACAGATAACACCTACAGATCACGTGAGTAGTTCACACCTACAGATCGCACCTACAGTTTACATTCACAAATTACACCTACAGATCACAAATGCAGATCACACCAATAAATCACACATGCAGCTCATATCTACAAAGCACACCTACAGATCGCACGTCCATATCATACCTACATATCGCACCTACATATCACATCTACAGATCACACGTGCAGCTCATACCTACAAAGCACACATACAAATCATACGTGCAGCTCACACCTACAGATCGCACGTCCATATCATACCCACATATCGCACCTACATATCACATCTACAGATCACACGTGCAGCTCATACCTACAAAGCACACATACAAATCATACGTGCAGCTCACACCTACAGATCGCACGTACATACCATGCTCACATATCACACGTACAGACCACACGTACAGATCACACCTACAGATCACACATGCATTTCATACCTACAGATCATACTATAGATCACATGTGCAGCTCATACATACAGAGCACACATACAAATCACATGTGCAGCCCACACCTACATATCACACGTGCATTTCATACTCACAGATCACACGTGCAGCTCATACCTACAGATCACACCTACAGATCACAAGTACATATCACCCATACAGATCCCACATACTGATCACACGTGCAGCTCATACCTACAGATCGCACCTGCAGTTTACATCCACATATCACACCTACAGATCACAAGTGCAGACCACACCAATAGATCACACATGAAGGTCACACCTACAGATCATATCTTCGTTTCAAAGGGTGATCGTTCTAGTAAGGAACGCAGGAGAAATACAGAAGTATTTTACCAATATTTCAAGAGAAAAACTTCATCCGGTGACCGCAACCTTCCAGACTTTTGAACATTTAAAGTTGTAAGCGATGATGGTGGTGTTGACACTGACAACTCATATTCTGTCTGCAAGAGATAATGTACCTATTATGACAAATTGGATAACTCCATTATCCATGATTATATGATTTAATGTAGTGTCAATTCCGGTACTTTCAAAATTATTCATCGTTATTCTTCAAAAGGGTGAATTTCTATCCAGTTGATCAAATGGTCATTATTCAAGGTAGTTGATCCTAATGACACAGTAAGCTGTTGGTTCAAATTAAGTACAAGTGTTCTGAACAATAGATTACTAAACTAGACTGAGCAGTTCGATATCATCACGGCACTAATGACGTCATGAATACTTACAAAAAGACGTAAGCTATACTGCTGTTTTATAGATTATCGCAAGGCTTTCGTTAGTGTACAGAAATATATTGTATCGAAGTTGAATGAGAGGGAAATTCTTAAATATTTTGAAGTCCTTTGTGACGGTTTAGAATTATATGTGAGTAACAAGTCGGAGCTGTCTGATATTTGTTTTCATGCACACAAGGCTAGGTGCAAGGAGAAGGGTTATCTCCCTTCCTTTATTCAACGTATGTTATCAATGGATTTATTTTATTTACGGAACACAATGGGTGTGGTTTGTTCCGTACAAGCGTGCTCTTAGTAGACGAGGTCTTTTGGACAGGTATCCGTATTGAGGAAAGTGCGCGATAGCTTATTGTTTCATATCGCACGTGAGAAAGGTCCGACACGAGTGTCAATAGGGGTAATAAATAAGAATATAGTGTAGCATGGTCATTCGAGTCTTGACGGTCAACCTGTTTTTTTTCTGTAGGTAGCTCCGGAAGTGACACGCTAATTCCAGAAGTTGGAGGAATAAATGACTTCGGATGATTTCGTGAATGGGTCAATATGATTGAATTTTGTTGCAAGATTGCCTGAATAAAGCTAGATGACCGTCGAAGGTCACACCCATGTAAGAGTTTTATATGATAATTGATTCATGTTCTTTTGAACGTCATGAATTAGAATCAGTTCCTTTATACGTCGTGTGAGGCACTATTTCTAAGAGATATTTTGCTTTTTTCTTTTGATGTATGCTGATGACACATTTCTTTTCTCAGTCAGCTTCCGGTTTACAGGAGATGCTAGAGTCTTTGAAATTACTTAGTGACAAATGGCAATTGTCAGTTAACAAAAAAAAAAACTGAAATTGTTTTATTCGAAATGGCGGAAGAATTTGTGCAAATGACAAGTTCTATTTTAAAAATAATGAAACAGAAATTGTTTATAACTTTAATGACTGGTTTTACTTTGAACCTTGAACTAGCATGTCTTTCACTACCATGCTTCACTTATTTTTACAGGGTTTGATAATCAGAATTGGACAGCGATACTTTACAGTAGCCATGGTTGCAAAGTCGGCGCACGTGCTAGGCAAATAACCTGACAATCATGAATACTGGATCAAGTACACTAGATTTGGCGGGAACTTTTCGTGACCACATCAATAATGTCAACAAATCAGAAAGACAGATGCTCGATCTCCGAGATATGTATAGCATAGTCATATTGATGCCTTCCAACAAAATAATGTATGGTAGACAGCACAGTATGCTGTCCTAATGATCAAGATTTTATCGGGGAGACATACTTGAAATCATTAACATAATACTAAGATATCGCCTCCCACAAGTTGTCATTGAAACAAAACCGACAGTGAAACGTAAGACTCGCTCAACTCATTAATATTCATGAAGTAATGACGTCATTAAATCTTGACAGGCGGCAAGCATGAAAACGGGGGGGGGGGGGGGGGGGGGTTGGAGGGGGTACAAATATATTTTTTTTTAATTTTTGACAGTGTATTCTATAGCAGATGTAGAGGCAAAACAAAAATTGATTTATCTTTATTTGTAACATGATGTCTATGTAGTTGAATGCATGAGCATGTAAATCTATGCTATTTATTCGACAACTGCACTTGTTCAGTAGTATTCAAAATAAATTCGTTATATTTTCATTGGAACTGTGATAGACTTT